TCATAACTGTGAGTGGTTTAGGATGATATTTTGTTAGTAGTTACTGGTGACAATAAGTACTTAATTACCTCATTATTTGGTAATGAGTCTACATACAAAAAAAATATTTATTTTAATTAAGATATGCCAAATGCGTAAAATTCTACCAAAATGCATCAAAGTATTTTTTTTTTTAAATTCCACATTTTAGGATTTTGAAACCAATGAATTTTGGCGAAATTGTAGAATTTTTCTTATCCGCCCGTATTTTATAATAAAGTCTTCTCTCTAAGTTCCTCACGATTTAAATATATTTTTGTATATTCCGCAATAGGCAAAGACAAAAACAACATTATTTCTATGCAACATATATTGGATTTTTTTGGTAGAAATATAGTTAATTTCATTTTTTTAAATTAAATATGCCAAACAAAACTAGCATATATAATATAGGTTATTTATGAAGTAGACAAGAAGCAACAGCAACTCATTAACACTTTTATCTTTTATTAAAAACTATAGTAATAACAACAACAATAAATAATAATAATAATAATAGTTATAATATTAATATTAATAATAATAATAATAATAATAATAATAATAATAATAATAATAATAATAATAATAATAATAATAATAATAATAATAATAATAATAATAATGATAATAATAATAATAATACTAAATAATAATAATACTAAATAATAATAATAATAATAGTTAAAATAATAATAATAATAATAATAATAATAATAATAATAATAATAATAATAATAATAATAATAATAATAGTTATAATAATAATAATAATAATATTTATTATATTATTATTTTATAATTATCTACTAAATATTAATTTTCAAACCCAATCAAACAATTTTAACTTCAAACAAAAAATATTAAAAACAATGCAAAAGGAAATTTTTTTTTTGCATTTCCAAACCAAAAAAAAAAAACTACAAATAATATATTTCGAATTATAAAACATATGAGAATATCTTAAATTTGTTTCTCTGCTGTTTGTTTCATTCTGAAATTGAACGAAAAAAAAAATCGCGAACAAAAAACAACACAATTTGTATTTGCAATCAAGCATTAATTGTTGCCATCTCTTAATGGCAGCGGAGGTGCGGTGACGAATGCAATTTGCTTCTTTTTAAATTGCATACGACCGTACAGAAAACACAAAACAAAAATATCAAAAAAGAAACAACAATAAAAGAGGTCAATAAGGCACCTCAGGAAAGAAAAAGAAGAAAGACGACAACAAACATCGAACAAAATTTCTGCAAACAAATGAAAAAAAATTTGCCGGTCTTTTTTTATTCGTAACACTACTGCTGCTGCAACAGGAAAAAATATATGGCAAACCACACAAAATACAACAGCAACAGCAGCAACAATATGAAAATGCAAATTTGCATTGCTTTTTTGTTGTTGTCATGTAAAACTGATTCGTCAATGGAATTTTTATCTCATGACTCTACCCTATGTGTGCAGGCTACTAAAACGCCTGTACACAACAGTGCAATGAAAACAACACGCTCTTACGATGTTGAAACCTCGCGCAAAAGAGTGTGGAAATGGATGAGAAAGAGAGATAATTAGAGGTAAATTTTAATTTAAAAAAAAATGATAACAGAATTGCAATTTTCGACTTATCTTCCTAAGCGATCGGAGATAATCCGACAAATAAGAGAAAACTTACGTTTTTAAAATTTCAATGAAAAAAGGTCTTACTCTTTAATTTTGTCTGCGCAAATTTTACTAAATATCTCATTTTTGCGCTCAGATGTAAGAGAACACATTTTGCACGTACATCAGCAAGATCAGAGAACCTGTATTTTTCCCTTTATTTTATTGTCTTATAACTCTTACAAACTTTACAAGAGAACGAGAGTGATTCCCAAGTAATTACATTGTAATAAAAGAGTAAAGCACAATTTAAATTCAATGTTTTTTCTCTTAATAATTGTATTCACTGAGAAAATCGTAATTGCATCGGTGTGGTGCTAAGCTCTAATTAGGCAAATGGGAGGTTATGTAACCATATATATGTAGATGAAGTATTATTTTTTTTCGCAATATTCACATTACAATATGAATAATTTCAATGTAATTTCCGCAAATGTTTTTTTTTTTCTAGTTATAAAGAATGAACTTATTGAATCTTTCGATATAATTTCTTTAATTTTCACAACTTTCTTGGAATAGATCATTCATAAATAGAACACTGATCAACAGGTGTTCCATAAATATGCCTTCAATAGACAGATAACTTTAAAAAAAGTCATCTATGGACAGAAGGCCTTTATGATAACTTGTGTAGACAAATGGTTTTTAAAAAGCTTTTCTATAGATAGCTATTCAAAAAATCTGTATCTATAGGTACTAGACCCTTAAACAGTTTTCTAGAGACTGAAACCTCAAAGACTTTTCTATAGACAGAAAGGCTTTTTAGGCTCTCATATAGACAGAAAACATATAAAAGCCATTATATACACAGAATATTTTTAAAATTTTTATACATAAGACTATACATTAAAAACTCCTCCGTAGACGAAATTCCTATAAAAGTGTTTCTAAAAACGGAATACCTTTAAAAGGTATATTTTTAAAGAATTTCTGCAGTCAGAAGACCCTTAAAATCAATTATATAGACCAACTATCTTATCAAGCTCTCAAAAAGACAGGAGGCCTTTAAAAGCTTTTCATAGACAGAATACCATTACAAGTCCTCCATTGTACAGGAAATATAAAAAAGCTCTATATATACCTGAGTTTCCATATAGACAGCAGGGCTTTTCTCAGACAGAATGTCATTACAAGTCTCCCTTTTGTACAAAAAATTTATCAAAGCTCCCCTATATGCTGAACTCGTTTATTAAATGAATACCATTAAAAGATCGTTCATAAGCAGGTGATCTTTATAAGCTCTAATATGAAAAACTTTTCAAAAGTTTTCTATGTATCGAACAACTTTAATAGATCTTCTCCTTTAAAGCTCATCTGGGTATAAAATAGCTGTAAAAGCTCCTTTATATACAGGATAACATTATAAGCTCTTCCATTAACATAGGCAATTTTAGAGCCTTTGAAATTATTGTAAAATGTTCTTCTTTGTATAAAATGCCCTTTAAAGCCCTTCTATATAAACTTCCTTTTAAAATGTTTCTACAGACAGAAGACATTAAAAAGCTCGTTTGCATGCGACAATCTTGACATGACGATCTTGGGTGAAAACATTTAAAAGCTCTTCTTTAAGCAAATATCTCTTCAATAGATCTTCTAATGATCAAAGAACTTTGAGAAAAAAAGATATCCTTATACGAGGTAGATCGAAGAGATCTTCTAATGACCGGCGACTTCCATGCGGATATAAGCCCTGTGATCGGTCTTCTATAGATAAAACACCTTTAAGATATAATTTATTGAAAAAAGTTCTCAGGGGAGTCCTTAAATAGGGACGACTTTTAGAGTTCTGCTATGCATTTTATTCCCCTAATAGGCCTCCTGTGGATCGAAGTTCTCTATCCTATAGATAATGTCTTTTAATCTGCTTCTTAATGAATCGAACGTTCAATGGACCGAGAACCGATAGAACAGATCTCTTGAGACGAAAGGTCATACAAGTGCATTATTAAATAGAAGACTGTGATCGGCATTCCTAAGTTAAAATACCTTTCAGAAGTATTTTATACAAATAATGCCCCTGAAGAGGCCTTGTTTAGATGAAGGCTTTCTAAGGGAGCTTTCGAAAGTCTTCTGATCTATTTTGTACATGGAAGGCCTTTTCAGAGTTTTCTACAGATTGTGATATTTGAAGAAATCTTAGAAAAAAATTTCCTGGGTTTTTTAATGTCTTCTATCAGGGGTGCTCAAAACCGTGTTCTAGAACATGAAGAGAAAAAAGAGATAATTTAAGAGAAAATTAAAATTCTGTTTTTCTTTATATTTTACTGTTCTATTTAATTGTTTTTAAACACGAATGTTTGCCAAAATAGTTTATAAAGCAAATGGATAAAAAATGTTTGTATAAATAATGACTTAACACTGTTTTGTTCTTGATTTAAATAAGCAAAGAGAAATTTGACTGAAAACAGATATTTCTTCTTGAGCACCCCTGCTTCTATAGACTTTCTACAAACTTCTCAATTACCCTTGGATAAAACTCATTTATAGATATCTTCTCAGAAGATGTTTACTCTACATGAGCATATTCGTTGAAAAAATCCTTCTTTAAAGGATTTTGACTATAAAACCGGTATGAATGTTAAACAGCTCATACACATAAACTCCCATCCCTGCCATTAATTTCGAAATTGTAACTGATTGTAGTTTCTATAAAACTCTTTGGCAATTTCTCTCTATGACTCACTTGAATGAAAGTCTCCAATGCAATTCACTCAAATTACAAAACAAAAAATATTACCTTTTCGATCTCTATCATTTCTCTGTTATTCTCTCCATAGTTTTTGAGTTACAATTACTCAGTAATTGCACTTATCTTTGCAATGCATTTGAGAGTAATTTTTCTCCGTATTCCATTTATCTCTTCTCAGTTCATTGCAAAATTTCCATGTATTTGTGTGGTTGTCGTTGTTGTTTTTTTTTTCTCCTTTTTTCTTCTTTACAAAAAAGAAATGCAGTTTTCTATGTGTGTTGGAAGTGCATTGTTGTTGTACACACCCACACACATGGCCGAATAGGTTGGTTGTAAACTATTTTTTTTTTGTTTGAGGAATGAAACAAAATAAAATAGAATTATTACATCTCCTCTCGTAGCGCGCCTCTTCCACTACTCTCGATATTTAATTAAATTATCACGTGCTTTGTTTGATGATCGAAAAGAATAAGAAAACGAAATAAAAAAAAACACGCAAAACGAAAGCAGTATAGAATTTTATTCCTGCATAATTAATTAGAAATTAAATAAAACAAAATTAATTATTTAATAAAAAACCAAAGTGAAAACAACGTCTCTATAATTGTGTGCGGATTTAATTTGGATTTTTTAGTAATCTGGAGAATAAGCATGAAATTTATACTTTGCAACAATACGAAGAGTCGCAAAAACTTAAACTTGTTGAAGACATCAAAGGAAGTAATAACAACAACAACAACAATACTGGCTGTAACAACAAAAATGAGATTTTAAATATTAATACAAAAGAAATTAAATCGGCTCCACAACAACAAAAAGCAGAAAAACTTGAAGACAACAAGGAGCATAAAATCGAAATACCACTCAATAACAACGGCAACAACAAGAATATTGCTAACAATTCAAATAAGCCACCAGAAATTACTGAGAATTCATTCAATTCCATACAAATCAAACGTGAACAAACACCACCTGTTGTAGTTACTGCTGCAGCAACACCAAATCCAATTACTCCCAACAACAGCAACAATAATACAATTGAACCACAAAAACCAATTTTATATAAAAACTATAATAACAATCCCACAGATAATAATAATCCATCCCTGTTGCCACAACCAATTGCCGCAGCAACAGGCACAACAACAAATTTACATTGTCCCACCACCACGGTTACGCGTACCATTTTCGAAAATAACAAACCCCCAGCTTCCACGGTCACCCGGGCCATATTCGAAAATAAATCCTTGTCCAAATACGCCGATGACAAGGGTCCCAAGACAGTAACCTCTTCGATTTTACGTCCGGCAACGTCGGCCGTCTTGCAACACGGTGTGAGTTTACCAACAACCACATCGACCCAGGCAATTTTACAATTGCAACCAACAACAACAGCAACTGCTTTGAATGTTAATCCTTTGGGTGGTGCACAATCGGTGACGGCATCTGTATTTGCACCCCGATCCCAACACATACCCTTGACCACAACCACTGCATCCATATTTGCTAAGCATCATCAACAGCAGCAACAACAACAACAAAATCCACAGCAGCAGCAGACAGAAGCGGTCAATCAACAAGATATGAATAAAGGATATTTAACATTTGCCGAAGATGCCAGTGAACTAACAAGTAAGTACCGAAACCACTTTTTTTAAATTAATAAAAAAATATATTTTTGAAGCCAAAATGGTGAGGTTCCTAATATTTCAGTTAGTAATTTTAGCTTAATAGCTTATCTTAAAAAAACAGATAACTACCAAATTAATTACTATTTTATTATTTTTTTTTTGTAAATTCCATATATAAAGAAAAAAGATCTCATAAAAGAAGAAGATCAAAGGGTCTTTTCATAGAAGACACAAGAATCTACTCATACAACACAAATAATCTATTCATACAAGACCAAAGGGTCTTCTCACAGAAAATCAAAGGGTCTTCTCATAGAGGACCAAAGTGGTTCCTCTTAGAAGGCCAAAGGTTTTTCTCACTGAAAATCAAAGGGTTTTCTCATTTAAGACCAATGGGTCTTCTCACAGACGATCAAGACGATCCATGGAAGACCAAAGGGTCCTCTTATAAAAACCCAAAGGGTATATTCATAGGGACCAATATGTCTTATCACAGAAGATCAAAAGGTCTTCTCACAGAAAACCAAAGAGATTTCTCATTTGAAGACCTAAGGGTCTTCTCATGGAAGAATATTTTCGTAGAAGATCAAAAGACGCTCTCATATAGGACCAAATGGTCTTCTCATAGAAGACCAAATAAGTTTCTCATAGAGGACCAAAGGATCTCATGGATTTTCTTATAGAAAAGCTAAGGGTCTTCTTATAGAAACCAAAGGGTCTTTTCAAGAGACCAATGTGTCTTACCACAGAAGATCAGAAGGTCTTCTCATAGAAGACAAAAGTATTTTCTAACAGAAGAGATTTCACATTGAAGACCAAAGGGTTTTCTCATGGAAAAGACGCTCTCATATATGACCAAATGGCCTTCCCATAGAAGACCAAATAAGTTTCGCATGGAGGACCAAATGATCTTCTTATAGAAGAGCAAAGGGTATTCTCATCGAAGAACAAAGATTTTCTCATAAAAGAATATGTTCATAGGAGACGTAAAAGGATTCTCATAGGATATTCTTATAGAAGGACAAAGGATCTTCTCACAGGAGACGATATTATCTTCCCATAGAAGACCAATGGGTATTCTTATAAACTATGTCCCAACATTTCAGAATTTCAGCGATAATTTCTAGATTGGTGATCCTTTAAAAAGGCATTTATTTTATCGCTAGAAGCCGACCCTTCAGCCGTCTTCTATCCCTGTGCGATATAATAAAGGGGGCACCATGCTTCCTTTTTCGAATTAAGTTTCCGTTTATTTTAGTAAAGTTACTAATAGCAATACGGTGATAATTTTGTTAGAAAATGGTTAACCCTCAAGCGAGTCACCAAAAGGGTCTTTTTTTGGCCCATTTTTCAAAACAAATTTATTTGTCATCAAATAAAGTTCAAATCTGACTCTCCTCTCTCTCCTGGGTTAAAGGCGAACTGTATTGGAGTTAATATAAAATAAGGATATCATCAAAGACAAGAATGTTCTTCACTATAAGTCACCAAAGAAAAGAAATCTCTATTTCTATAATATATATAGAAAATATATATATAGAAATGTTGCCAAAATTTCCGAAAATATTCCCCAAATTGGTTGATCAGTTTTTCCCTCGATCTTTTTTCGAGTTGATGCATGAAAGTAACATCAAATTTCGTTTTAGGCAGAAAATGTCCAAAGAAGAAATATTCTACACAAAATGTTATTATAAATCTCAGAATTAGCCAAATATCTGTTTATAATAGCCTTAAAAAAATTACATTCGAAATTCTAATTAATTTCTTGAGGATAGTATCAAAAAAGGAATTTTTCTAGATCAAATTTCATTATGAGTCTCGGAACAAAAGATATTCATTTTCTTCATATGTACCACTTTTTATAAAAATTTCCTATAATTTCACTCTTTCATTGAAAATTCCAAGTGTAATTGAATATACTCGGCCTGCAATTTTTTTATTATTCTGAAGACAACCAAGATATATTGCATAAAGCACTACATATAAAATGTGATTAAAATTGCAGATTGCAGAATTTGATCCTTTAAAAAATCGCCCCTTGAAATCTCAATTGTTGATAAAATACATTTAGACTATATACTTAGTATATCAGTCTATTCTACAATTACGTTTTTTTAAAAAAAAGTTCATCTTCTCTGAAATAAATTAAGCACAAATATTTATTTACCCAAGTCTGAAGTACAACAGGCAAACGTTAGTATCTTAATCTATTTAAACAATTGCACACTTAAGGAAATATAGTTCTTATTTATTTAAAGTGACAAAGCCACCAATATGTGATGTGGTGTGAGCTGGTTTCTGTTAAATAGATTGTGTTTTTCCCCCGCGATAAAGATAGATGAACTAATAGTCAGTATATCAGTTAATATCTTGAAAATGTAATAAGACAAGCTATGACTTAGAGGCTAAACCATTTTTCCGTAATAAAAAGTAATTTTATAATTGCGGTTATTGTAAAACGCTTGGGGGGTCAAAAGTGTTCTTGGTTGATTTACTTATATTACACGAGAGAAACCACAAATGGAAAAACGAAAAAACAGATTGAGATTGTGTTATTAACGTATTTGTATCAAATGAAAATAGCAAGGAAAATTAGGTTTTAAAATGGTTAAAAATATATGTAATGTGAAATAAATAGTATTTCTAAAGAGGTTACAAAAATTTGCCAAATTTGATTATAAGGAAACATAAAAAGTTGCATAAAATTTTTTTCTTATGGGCGAAATGCTACTACAAATTATGCCCTTTAACCTTAGTTACTGTATAGTCATTTGACAATGTTAAATTAACCTCTCACAATGTCTTGGCAACAAATGTCATTGGCTTAGAAATATCTCTCAAAGTCTTAGCCACATTTCTCAACATCTCGCAATGTCTTGGCAACAATTGTCATTGGTTTAGCAACATAACGCAATGTCTTGGCAACAATTTATGTTGCCATAGAAATATATCGCTTAGCAACACTGCGCAACATCTCGCAATGTCTTTGCAACAATTTGTATGTATCAACACGTTTAAGACAAGTTCCTCTAATGTCAATTTTTTTTGTAAATAATACATATTTTGAAACTTTTGTCCAACAAATACCTTCACATACCCTGTATTTGCAACAAATTTTTGCTTAATATTTGATTTCTTTGTGTTTCTGCTATAAATAATTTACTTGGCTAAAATAACTTTAACCATTTTACATCTGCATCTCACAATGTCGTGGTAACTATTATTATTTCATTATGTTTTTGAAATAATTGTTATTGTCTTAACAACGTCATACAAACTCTAAGCAACATCGTTCAACATCTAATAAAATCTTTGCAACATTACTCAACATCTTGCAATGTCTTGGCAACAAGTGTCATTGGCTTAACAACATATCACAAGGTCTTAGCAACATTGATTATTGTATCTCAATGTATTGGCAACAATTTATATTATGTTAGCAATACCTCACCTCACAAAATCTTAGCAACATAAATCAAGCTTTCTGCATGATTCTTCAAATCGTGTAACTTTATATCAACATCTCTTAAATGTTTATAGGCCAGTATTTGTATTAAGAAAAAATGTAATTTCATTATATTAGAAGTACAAAGATTTATATGATTTTATTTATATACATCAACATTTCTGTATGTTGCAAACCCAATGTTTCGCCAACAGAGCTCTGACTGGTGAGTCAACACAATCTCATCTTAAATAAACATATTCTTCGAAAATTAGTTTTTTAGATATCGAAAAACGTTGTGCAATGTTGCATAGACTCTGTGAGATGTTGCTAAAAATTTTGAAAGACCATGTTTAATAAAAGTATAACCGTGTTGTATTAGCAACATCTTACAGTGTCAGAGCAACATTGTTCAACATGTCACAATGCCTTGGCAACAGTTTGTATTATCCTAGCAACATCTCAAAAAGTTTTTGTAAGGTTTCCTCAATATTTATCTTTAATTTAAGTTCTATAAAAGTGACTTAATTATTCAACTCAGTATTAATTAAAAAAAAAAATATATGCTAATGATATAGGGAGAACAAAGCCGTGTTTGAGTGGTTTTATCAACATTTCAGCATGTTGCACAACTCCATGTTTATCAACATAGCTTTGGCTGTTGCCACCACTTGTTTTAGAGGCTTAAGAACATTTTTTTCTGTTTAATAACCAATTCTTAAAAAGTAATAAATGTTTTTGAAACCTTTGTTAACCAACATTCGTCACTCTCTCTCGCTCTCTCTCTCTGTATTTATTTGCACCAAATAATTATATAATATTTTACCTCTTTTTGCTAGGAAATGGTTAAATTTTTGCATTTTTCTCTTATCTTAATTAAGTTGTTCTCTACAGACTGATAGTTTATCTAAATCGCATGGCCTTTAAAATGAACGAACGCTAGGTTAGTTTCATTGTTCTGTATTTTTTATCGGCTCTTTACCCTGTTTATTATTTGATTTGTTTTGTTGATAATGGCTTGGAATTTTGCAGGGGGATTGGTATTCGATTTGGGGATCAAAAAAAAACAGAACATGAAGTGATTCTGTTTAATGCCTTTATTATCGTAAATGCATTTTTATTGACATTTTCAAGTGGGTTATGGACACCGACAATTGCAATGTCATATAAAGTTTGAGTGATTGGTAGGAAGCTTTTTCAATTTTTATCGATTGTTTGCCGTTAGTAAAAGACTTTATTCTTAAAAATTAAGAGAAGGGCGGAATATTGGTTTTTATATTATAAGAAGAACCAATAGAATTAAGAGCTATTTTTCTGCTTACTCATTGTCATGTGATATGTGTTGGCATATCACAACAATTCATACATGCCATTGCTCAATGTTTAATCATGGCACGTTCAACATAAATATCGGCATAACATTATTCTCAGAGCTTAGGTATCAAGAAGTAGGTCATATTGTATGTATGACACTTGATGACAGTAAACCATGCCATCCAAAATTATTAGTATCATTTGTTTTTTGTATGTGCAGCCTACGTAAAAAATTTCATATG